ATCAATTGCTTCTGACTGAGGAAGTGCATGTTAGTGCTGGATGAGGGCAGGGCAGGCGGCTCCCCCAGGGACAGATCTCGGGGAGGAAGCTAAATACCCCAGTTGCATCAGGGTGGAAGCGGAGGCAGCCACGGGAGAGGGGGACACTTTGATGTTGTCTCCTGATGCTGCTAAAGAAAGACACTCCCCATTTCTGAGATCCCTATACCGGCTCCCTCTGCAGCCAGAGCCCGTTGTCAAGGAGTCTTTGGACACTGCCAGACTCACTAGCTCTCTGCCCTCCATTTCCCAATAGTCCCCAAGGTCTCGGCTGGGACATGGGCCATCCCCAGCCTTTGGGACTGGCCTTCTAGCCAGGTGACAGCATGAAGCTCAGTCCATCACCACCCCAAGCGGCTCCAGGAACCTGACCGGACTCGGCAGGGTAAGGACGTAATTTCAACCCCTGTGCTTAGCCAGCAAATCCTGCTTCAGCGTCCCATGGAGCCCGGGGCCTGGAATTGGGAAGCCCAGAATGTGTGTGTGTGGGGAGATGCTCAGCATGCTCATTTGCATATGTATTTACCCAGTATGCACCAGTTTCATGGCAGTGTCCTAGTTTGGGGCAGGGGGGCAATGACTTAGTGGAGATTCCCCCGGTCCCCCCCCATCTTTCTTCTCCCTGGGCTTTGCTGGCTGTGATTGGGACGGGTGGGGGCTCTCTCCTCACTGCTGCTCCATCCAGCACCAGGTTTTACCCTCCATGGCTGCACTGTGATGTTTAATATAAGCCTCTCCCCAGTCTTCGTGGGTGGTAGGAAAATGCCCGAAGCCTCAGCGTAGAGGGAACTGGGACTAGGTCAGAGCTGGCTTGTTTCAATACAACAGCAGCAGCATTGCTGGCCAAGTGGTGTCAGAATATCTGGGCACTCAGCCCCTGACCAGCAGCGGGTACACTCAGAAATTTTCTAGCTGGAGCAGAACAATGATCTCTAGGGTCTGATAACTTGACTCAGTCCGTAGCTGCAGCCTGGATGCTTCTCAAGTATCAGGGGGTAGCCGTGTTAGTCTGTATCTATGAAAACAACAAGGAGTCTGGTGGCACCTTAAAGACTAACAGATTTATTTGGGCATAAGCTTTCGTGGGTAAAAACCTCACTTCTTCGGATGCAACCTGGATGCTTCTGTAACCCTGGCTTACTCCATGTAGCACTTTGTCCTCTGCTAGCAACTGCAGCACGGAGAGACTTCTGAGTCTGCTGGAGCCTTGGGGTGCAGAGATGGGTCCTTGGGCACAGGTCTTTGGATCCTGGGTTTGATCCCCATGATGACAACCCATCCAGGGGGGAAGGAGTCCCTAACCACTTGACCACCCTCCTTCCCTGCAAGGGCGAACATACTATGGGTTCCTGTGAGTGAAGCCCACTGGGTCCCGCATAGCCAGTACGGGGTTGCTCTCTGTGGTGCGTTCCCCAGCTCTCACCCTGGCGTGACTAATGTCTCCCCTGTTAGCATTCTGGGATCCTCTGTTCAGGGCCAGCTCTGGCTTTTTTGCCGCCCCAAGCAAAAACAAAAACAAAAAACCACCTGCGGGGCGGCCGGAGCGGCAGAGTAAAAAAAAAAATGTGCAGGGCAGCCAGAGCGCGGGTGCAGGGGGACTCCCGGCGCCGCAGACGTACCCTGGGCAATGGGGAGGAGGAGGTGGGAGCAGGGGGAGAGAGAGAAGGGGGTCAGCCAGGGCTTCCTTCAGCGGGGCGCTCACCACGCGGCCCCTCCTGCCGTGCCGCCTGCCGGGAGGGCTCCGCGCCGCTCCGGTCAGCGGGGAGGGAAGGACGCGGGCTGCCCTGCCGGGCTTGCTACAGACCTGGCACTGGCTGGGGCAGACGGAGCGCGCAGTCCGCTCCCCTCCTCCGTGCCGCCACCCCCTACAGGGCGGCCGGAGCGGCAACCCAAAAAGAAAAGGATTCATGGGAATGCTGCCCCTTAGAGCTTGCTCGGCTGGTGCCTGGAGCCAGCCCTGCCTCTGTTGATCTCAAAGAGCTGCACCGACTGACATGGTGATGGGAGGGGGGCCCCCAGCAACTGCCAGCCTGTCTGGTCCGGTCTCCAACAGCGACTGATGCAGGACTCCTCCCCGCTCGGCTTGGGTGCTGAAGCACGAGGCTGGAGACTCATTGACCCCGTGCCACAGTCAGCTGCCCACACCGGAAAAGAGGCGGCCAGAGATAGAGATTTCCTTGAGAACTGATTTATCGCTGTGGTTTATTGGACCTATGCCATGGCTCATTACCTCAGGCCGGTCAATCCTGCAGCATCTCCCTCCGTTCCCTTTGCCCAGCTCTCCCGGGCACTTAGCCACCCCCCGAGAACTTGGGTGCCTCCCAGATCCCTTGTGCAGGAGAACAGTTATCCCCATTGGGCAGAGGAGGCAGTGAAGCCCAGAGAGATGGTGGGCACACCTACGTTTGAGCTGGGCGGGGTGAGTCACACCTGGGCTAGCTCTGCTCATGCTAGTGCCTAAAGATAGCAGCGTGTGCCCAGTGGCTTGGTCAAACGCTCCCAGTACAATCCACCCCTCCCCCTGGGTGTATAACTCGGGCCACTAGCCCATGCGGCCACAGACACGCAACTATTTCTAGACACTAGGTCGAGCAAGTGCAGCTACTCAAAGTGGGACTCGCACCTCCTGGCTCAAAGGCGGACGTACCCTGAGTGACACGGGCAGGACGGGTAATGGAACCAGGCTAGTGGTCTAACCACTGGACCATCCTCCTTCCCTACAAGGTGGGATGTACCATCCGCTCTTCTAGGGGAACCCCGCTGGGTTTCCCCCTAGCCCGTTCAGGGCTGCTCCCTACAGTGCAGTGCGTTCCCCAGCTCTCGCCCGAGCATGGCTGATCTCTCTCCCCCGTGGGGTTACTGGGACCCTCTGCTGGGGTCAATGACTGTCATGGTGATTTATACCAGCCCAGGGTCTGTCGGTGAGATTGGGAACTGGGGTGTCCGGCCTGCAGATGTGCCTTGTGCTGCCCAGAGATGGGGGTAATAATGGGGAGGCAGGTAACTTTGTCCTGGCTGCTGGGACACCGTGCCCCTGCTTACCTGTGTCCTCAGTGACGGGAATGGGCACAACCCCAACCACACGGCTCCCCCATAGGGCTGGCGGGGAGTCAGGCCAAGGATGACTCTCGTTGTGGGCTGGGTGCTCTGAGAGAAACTAAACCTGCCAGGGATGGTCCCTCCTGGCAGCCGGGGTTCCTGTGTATGTGTGCACATGCATGAGAGTGTGTATATGTGTATGCATGTGTACATGTGCATGTCTGTGTATCCACGTGTGCGTATACACCTATAGGTGTATATTCATATGTGTTCCATGCCTGTTCCCATGACTCCCATCCAAGGAGACGGTTGGTTGTGTCCTGTCCTCTCTCCGCAGCAGGCCTGGAGGGGAGGGATCCGGGCAGAGAGCTGGCTGAACCCAGGCATCTGGGACCCTGTCTCTTCCCACAGGGAACAGGGGTACTGTGCCAACTGCCAACCTGCCCCAATCGGTGTGCGACAGCTGTGGGCACCCCTCCCCATGCAGCTCTGCCCTGCAAACCCTCCCTGCCCTCGTCTGGGCACCGGACTGTTGGATCCACTGGCCAGTGTACCCTGCAGACAGGACCTGACTCTGATCTCCAGTGTGAACCCAGTGACTTCCCCGGAGTCACTCTGATTCTCACCAGGGTGTGCAATGGCCCTGGGGCTGCAATAGGTACTAGGCTGCAGCTTCATTGCTGCTCTTCAATCTAGGGGGGCAAAGACACCTCCCCAGCCTCCAGGATGTGGGGGGGGGGGTACAAGCAACCTGGCCATTCCGATCAGGATCCAGCGCTTGGAGACAAGGGCGGGGACACAATCAATCAGAAGGAACCGCCCTTCTGGTCTGAACCCACCTGCAACAAAGGGCCCCATCACTGCCCTCAGGTGTGGGGCTGGCTGATTTCCATAAACTCCCAGATCTGGGGGGCTTGCTTCAGGCTAGCTAGGTCTATACACCCCATCTATCCATCCATCCATGACAGCAGTGCTTGGGTGCGGCTGATCTGGAGTTCGGGTTTCCATTCTAACCCCACCTTTCCAGATACTCCCTGCGGGCTGCGATCATTCCATTTGCTGTGAGCGTGGCTGTTCTAGGAGCGCGGGAGCCCCCGCAGAACGCCGCGAGGGTGAAGCGACGCACTGATTCCTTCCCGCGTTGCAAGCGGAATCTGCGCTCCGCTAACTCACACATGGAAGCAGCTGGGCCGCTCTTGAGTTCTGCTGGCCTTGTAGCCCTGCCCCGGGATGGTAAAAATCAAGTCAAGGTGAAAGCTCAGGAAATATCACAATGATGGGCTCCACATTTTCAAAGTGACTTGTGATTTTTGGGTGCCCAGCCTGGGACAGCACAAACTGGGGGTGATTTGAACAAAGTCCTGAGTACTCAGCCCCAGATCCTCAAAGGTATTCAGCCCTCATTCCCATTGAAATCAATGGAAGTTAGGTTAGGGTGACCAGATGTCCCGATTTTATAGGGACAGTCCCGATATTTGGGGCTTTTTTTTCATATGGACTCCTATTACCCCCCCTCCCCCCACCTCCTGTCCTAATTTTTCACACTTGCTATCTGGTCACCCTAAGTTAGGTGCCTTTGAGGATCTGACCCCACCCTCTTAAAAAAAACAGGCTCCTTTAAGAGATGTCCATTTGGGTCCCAAAATCAACAGCTGCTTTTGAAACTCTTAGCCGTGAAAGTTTAAAGTTGCCCTATGAGCGGAGATGATGCCACTGGGCTCATACAGCAGCGTAGGGATGAGGACCTAGGTCTGCAGGCTCCCAGGACAGTGCTGTATCCAGGCCGCATTGCTGCAGGGTACCCTGACCCCTGTGCCTAAGCACTAGGAGTCAGAGTGTGGTGCACAGTGAGAGCCGATAGACGCAGGGAGACCTACATCCCCTTGTGTAACTCTTGGTTCTGTGGTTTCCCAGCAGGTGAGATGCATCTGGGCCACGGCAACCAGTCCTTCACCACCGAGTTTGTCTTCCGCCCCTTTTCGTCCGTGCCTATGACACAGCAGCTCCTCTTCGTGCTCTTCCTCCTGCTCTACCTGGCCATCATCAGCAGCAACGCCTCCATCCTCTGGGTGGTCTGCACCGACCACACCCTCCACTCCCCCATGTACTTCTTTCTGGGCAGCCTCTCGGGGCTGGAGGTGTGCTACACCACTGTGGTAGTGCCCCAGATGCTGGTCAGTGTCTGGGATGCCCACACCACCATCCCTGGGGCCAGCTGCGGGGCCCAGATGTTCTTCTTTGTGGCACTCGGCAGTGCTGACTGCTTCCTGCTGGCAGTCATGGCCTACGACCGGTACGTGGCCATCCGGCACCCGCTGCGCTACGCCCTCATCATGACACGACGGCTCTGCCGGCGGCTGGTGGTCGCCTCACTGTTCCTCGGGGGGCTGCTCTCATTGGAGCTGACGGCCCTGGTCTTTGCCCTACCCTTCTGCAGTCGCCGGATCAACCACTTCCTGTGCGATGTGCCGCCCGTGCTGCGTCTGGCCTGCGGCGACACGCGCCTCCACCAGACTGTGCTGTTCAGCGTGGGCGTGGCTGTGCTGGCCATCCCCTTCCTCCTGATTTGCCTCTCCTACGCCCTCATCACGGCTGCCGTGCTGCGCATCCGCTCGGCCGAGGGCCGGCGCCGCGCCTTCCACACCTGCTCCTCCCACCTGACGGTGGTGCTGCTGCAGTACGGCTGCTGCGGCCTGGTCTACCTGCGCCCCAAGGCCGACTCAACAGAGGACGAGGACCGACAGGTCGCTCTGATCTACACCTTTGTCACGCCACTGCTCAACCCCCTCATCTACAGCCTGAGGAACAAGGACGTCAAGCAGGCCCTGAGCAGAGCCGTGAGGCGGGCATTGGCATCCCATCCTCAGTGAGGGGCCGGACGGCCATGTCTCTGCAACCAGTCCCTGCCTCCCACACCATGGGCAGACCCAGGCCATGCCTGCCAGCCCCATCCCTGCCTCCCCTGCCCCTCTGCAATGGGCAGACCCAGGTTCCACTCTTAGGCCTGGTCACTCCATGCAGCAGAAGCCACCTGTTTCTATGCCACAGGTAGGAGGCAGGGATGTCCGATTTGGGAGTGGAACATACAGGCTCTGAAATGCAGCCCTGGTTGCTGCAGTGCATGAGGTGTAAACCTGCAGAGGACAAGAGAAATCAGAAGATCAGGGTGAAAACTAGTGTCAGCCTATGGCTGCTATAAGGAAGGAGCTCTCTGCCACCATCTCTTGGTGAACTGGAGGAAAAGCACAATGCCTGACCTCATTTGCATGTTTGTTACCGGCCCTTCCAATGTGAACAACATTTTGGTCATTCTGATTAAAATACAATTAACTTTGGGGGATAAGGATATGAAATGTTTTCATCCTTACTGGGTGATAAAAAGGCAATGGGACTGTATTTAGTGTGCGCTGAGTGAAGTCACCCTAACCATAATCTCCATCTGGCACCCCTGGGAAATGGAAGTGGGGGTACGGTTGGTTTTTTTTGTTTGGTTTGTTGAGTGAGTGCATGTATGTATGCAAACAAGCATGGAAGGATTATGTCTAATCCTCATCTTAGCTCTTTAACTTGCTCTCCGATAGAAGTGAGTGAATAGGGGAAAGGGGTGTAGGTTAGGATCCTGAGACTATAGTGCTGACAGATAGCCCTCTGTAGCAAGGTGCGCCTATTCAGTGCCACTAGAGTTATAACGGCAATAGCTGTGTTTGGCACTTCAGGCTGCAGATCTGGCATAGAGGCTCCAGGTGATGGTGTGGTGTGAGGTGATACAAAGCTAGCATTGCAGCTAGAAGAGGGGGCATGACAGAGGCAGAGGCAAAGCATCTCTTCATAGAAGTCAAGCACCACGCCCCCACCCCTGGGGCTGGGGATGGACCTGTTTGAGTGCACGCTGGTCTGGACTATGCTAACCATGGACTGGAGGGGAAGGGGAGAAAGGGGTGTGTGAAAGGGACATTTGTCCATCAGACAGGCACACTGGCCTGTGGGGAAACTGAGGCAAAGGACGACTGCCCATGATATTGTGTTTTACTTACTATTCACATAAATATACAGTTGATTTGTTGTGTTTTCCCAAATGAATGCTGTGTTCCTTTCCCCCTTAATAACGTTTCCTTGTTTCTATACACAGACTCATTGCTCGTGAGAGGGGAACTGTTGCCTGTTAAGGGCTCCTAGGGAAGGGTTTTCCCAGGCTTCTTGTGGGTGCTCGAGCTGGTGTATTGGTTGGTTTTAAGGGGAACCCTTAGATATTTGTACCTGGCCCTTTTTGCTGCTGACAACACCTGGCTGAAGGGTCACAATACACCAGAACCAAGCGATCATTGATTTTCCTGTTCTTGACGACTCTTACTGGACTGCTTGTATGGGAAGGGGGAATAAAAAAGGGGCAGGCCAAGAATCCTCCTAGAGTCAGCTCCAGATAGCGATGCCAAGGAATTGCTTAAGCCTGGAGAAGAAATTATTGGTTACGTGGCACCCTGGTTAATAAAATATGTGACAAATGATTCTCCTCTCTCTGGCATCATGTGTTACTAGAACCTATGATTAAGGTGTCTGGGTTGTTAAAAGTGGCAACTAATATTGGGTCCCTACATGTCTGGGTGCCCAACCTGAGTGGTATTGGCCTGATTTTCAGAGGGGCCAAGCACCTGCAGCTCCCAGGGACAGTGACTAGTTTTACAGGTGCTCAGCTTCGCTGAAAAGCCCTTTTCAAGTTGGGCACCAGCCATGGAGGCACCCAAGTTAGTGGCTAATAAATAAGAATAATGGGCTGGAGGTCAAAACAATTGGAATTTCCATCCTGTGGGAGAATCCAGTATTTTGTTCATTGTTTTCATCCCAAATTAGGATGAAATGCGAACACATTAGAACTTTTCACACAACAAAAACTACCAAAAATGTTGATTCAGAAATGTTCTGGGTTGACATTGATCTCTCCAGCTGAAGGAAAAGCCTGGAAGCGCTGCCCCAGAGCAGGAAGCCAGGAAATCCTGGGATGCCCAGCACTGGGCAGTCTGGTCCATAACAAATAACCCATCACAGACACATACACACAGAGAGGCAGGCACCTCATTCACCTGAAATGATACGGATATTGCCCAGTCTGTCCTGTTGAGACACTATTCATTTACACAAAACGTCGTGGAGGGGAGTTAAAGTTGTGGCTGCCTTCCAGAGCATTGGTTAATAAGCATTTACGTGGGCAATAAATGTTTGAGAATGGGTTTTTCAATCTAGCAGCCAAAGGTCTAACACGAGCCAGTGGCTGGAAGCTGAAGCCAGACAAATTCCGACTGGAAATATGGTGCAACATTTTAAGTGAGGATAGTGAACCAGATTTTCCATCACTGGTCATTTTTAAATCAAGATTGAAAGTTTTTCTTGTGCTTGTTCAACCAGGAATTAAGTCAAGGAAGTTCTCTAGTCTGTGTTATGCAGAAGGTCAGATTAGATGATCACAATGGTCTCTTCTGGTCACTTAATCTATGAATCTTTTAGTCTCCTCTCATAAAATAGGCTCTCCATTATCCTGCTCATCGCAGTAGCCCTTCCCTGCACCTATTCCAGTTTGAATTCTGGCCATATGATCTATGTGAGACTTCTGTACCCCAGACTCAGCTGCTGGAAAATCTCTCCCCTGAGAAAATGTTCAGTCATGGTGCCCCATCTACACTTTAAAGGAACACTAGTGTTACAACAACACCAAAAAACCCAAACCACAAATGTAAGAAAACCAGGAAATGCAGTCAAAGCAATGCTTCCCGCAGACCAGTCCGAGCTGCTAGGTCCTTCTCTTCATGGACCAAAAAAAAAAAAGTGCTTTTCAAATGTGCTAGCTCAAAGGAGTTCCCTTAGCACACGGGCTGATGTGTGTAGCCATGTTAGCTGGCCATTTTCTAGCCTAGAAGGGAGCTAGGCATCAAATAGGAACATTGGACTGGAAAGGCCCTCTTGGGTCTTTGAGTCCTGTCCCCTGCTCTCACAGGAAGCCCCGTCATATAGGCCTGTTCATAAATGTATCAAACTCTACCTTAAAACTAGTTAGGTTGTTTGTCCCTGCTAGTCTTCCTAGGAGGCTACTCCAGAATTTCCCTCCTCTGATGCTTCAGAACAGACTTCCAAATTCCAGCCTGAAGTTACTCAAGACCAGTTTCATCTCCATGTGTTCTTATGCCAACCTATCCCTTAGCTTAAACAGCTCTTCTCCCTCCCTGGTGTATGTAGAGAGAGCAATCCAATCCCCTCTCCGCTGCCGGTTTGCTAGGCTGTCAGGGACCCACAGCTGAGCCCCCAGACACAGCTCATTGCCCTCAGCTGATTCATCGAACACACCTGGCCCTCTGACTGGCCAATGAGTGCAGTAGCTACAGGCATGGATCTCTGGCTGCTCAGTGGCCTTCCACACCTGCAGCTGTGTTTCTGGTCCTGTAGCTCACGCCTGGTTTCCTTCTCGGCAGTTTTTGTACTCCTTTCTATTTGCCTCACTATGATTTGACTTCCACTCTGTAAAGAAAGCC